GGTGATGGGCTGGTTGGGGGACGGGGGGGTCCCGGTCTGGGGCTCCTGGGCTGGTTGGGGGACCGGGGAGGGGTCCCCGTCCCAGGGGGTCGTGGTCTCGTGAAGTCCCGGGGCGGCACGGGGGTCCCGGGGGTCTCGCTCGCGGTGCCGGTTCGGGGTCCGGGCGGGGCGGGAGGTGCGGGGCTTCCCCGTCCGCCCATCCGTCCGTCCGTCCGTCCGTCCGTCCGTCCCCGGGGGCGGCTGTCGCGGCTGCTAAATGCGTTTCATTAACGGCGGCGGGGCCGGGGCTGCTCCCCCCGCTCCCCCGGGACCCCCGGCCCGGCCCGGCCCGGCTATAAGAGGCGGCGGCGGCGGGGCGGGGGCGATGGCGATGGCGGGGCGCCCGGTGCTGCTGCTGCTGCTGGCGGGGACCCCGCGCTCCGCCCGCGCCTGCCCCGGGACCCCCGGCCCGGTGAGCCCCGGCCCGGCCGCGCCGCCGGAGCGGGGGCTGCGCTTTGTGGGGGGATGCTCGGGGTTGGGGTCGGGGGGTCGCTCTCCGGTTCCAGGACCGCTGTGAGCCCCGGTCCTCCCCGCCTCAGGCCGCCGCCGCCGCCGCCCTGGGAGCGCTGCTCCGGTCCCTGCAGCGCCCCGGCCGCGCCCCCGGGGCCCCCCCGCCGCCGCAGAGGTGAGCGGGGATGGGGGCCGGGGGGGTCTGGGGGGACACCGAGGGACGGGGTCGGGGGTTTGGGGACAGAGCGGGGACGCAGGCGGTGGGGAGGGACACGGGGGGTTTGGGGGTGCCTGAGAGGAGGGTCGGTGGTGTGGGGATGGGGGTCCCCATTAAGTGTCCGTGTTCAGCCCATCCCCATCCGTCTGTCCGTCCATGCCATCCATCCCTGTCCCTCTGTCTGTCCCCATCCTGTCCCCGGTGCGGATCGACGGTGCCGTGTCCCCCCGGCAGGTCGGGCTGGGGGCCGCAGGGGGGACCCCCGGCCCGGCTCGGCCCCCGCAGCTGGGACCCCCCGGCGGCCCCGTTCTGGACGATGGCGACCCCGCAGCGCTTCGGCCGCCGCCGCTGAGCCCGGCCCGAGCCCCCCGAGCCCCCCGGTGGCTCCGAACGCCCCCCAATAAAGCGATCGCCCCCACGCCGAGCCCTCGCTCTGCTTCCGCCCCGGGGCGGGTGGGGGGACGCGGCTGCTGCCCCTCTCTGCCCCCCAGCCCCAAGCAGACACCGACACGGGGAGTACAAACCCCCCCAGCTTTATTCTGGGGGGCCGATGGCACGCGGGGACCCTCCAGAACGGGGGGCCAGGCCGCAGGGGGGTCCCGGGCCCTGAGGTCCGTGTGTTCCTCCACCCGCAGCGGGGTCGGCGCGGTGGCCGCGGGTGGGGGCCGCGTCCAGAGGTCCGAGCACTGCCCGGGGAGCCGAGGGGCAGTGCCCGTGCCCGGGGGGGCTGCCTTACCCTAGGCAGGGCTCAGCTGCCCCAGCAGGGCTCAGGTGCCCCTGGCAAGGCTCACTTGCCCCTGGCAGGAATCACTTGCCCCGGCAGGGCTCAGCTGCCCCGGCAGGGCTCAGCTGCCCCCGGGCAGGGCTCAGGTGCCCCTGGCAAGGCTCACTTGCCCCCCAGCAGGGCTCGCTTGCCCCCCGGCAGGGCTCAGCTGCCCCAGCAGGGCTCACTTGCCCCCCGGCAGGGCTCACTTGCCCCAGCAGGGCTCACTTGCCCCCGGCCATGATGCGCAGGTACTGCAGCGCGTTGCGGGCGGCCTGGGCGCGGGCGCCGTCGCGGGACGGGGCGGTGCCGTGGCACACCGTGGTCGGCTGCGTGGACAGCTCCACCAGGCACTGGTGCAGCCCGCTGAGGCTCAGCGCGTCTGGGGGCACAGCGGGGTCACCCCACGGCCCGCGGCGGCGCCGGGGCACCCGCGGGGCACCGGGTGGGATGGGGGGGCTCACCGATGTCGAGGTAGCTGATGGCGAAGCTCTGCTCCTCCGAGAGCTCCTGCAGGAGGGCGCAGGCCCCCCCCGGCGCGGGGTTGCCCCCCCGGCTCCGCAGCTGGCCCAGCTTCTCGCCCGCCGAGTTGCGCAGCGAGTCCCAGGTGCAGCCGGGGGCGCGGCCCCGCAGCCCCTCCAGCCGGGGGCACGTCTGGGGAGGGGGCACGGCGTGCTCAGGGACCTGCCGAGCCCCCGGGGTCTGTCCCGACCCCCCCCGAGGTGTGGGAACCCCCCTGGGAACAGTGGGACACCCCCGGGGTCACCCACAAGCCCAAAGCCAGAGGGTGCCCTCCCCATGGCCTGGAGCAGGGGCACAGAGGGGGCGCTGGGTGGCTCTGGGTGGCTCCGGGGTGGCTCTGGGTGACTCTGGGGTGGCTCTGGGTGACTCCGGGGTGGCTCTGGGTGGCTCCGGGTGCCCGTGTCCCTCCCAGTGCCCCCAGTACCATGTTGAACTGGTCCTCCTCGCCCTCGGCCTCGCTGCCGTCGCGCGGCTCCATGGGGACGTTGTGGATCCTCACCAGCATCTTGGCGGCCGCGTTGCGCTTGGCCAGCTTCTTGGAGGTGCCGCTGCCTGGGGAGGGGCTGGGGGTGAGCGGGACCCCCGGCCCTGCCCGGGACCCCCGGCCCTGCCCCGGGACCCCCAGCCCTGCCCCTCACCGATCTCCACGAATCTCTCCACGCGGCACGTCATGGTGAACTCCTTGCGGTGCGCCGGCCCCGACTCCTGCGTCACCGTGTACTCGGGCAGGCGCCAGCCCTTCTGCACCACCAGCTCCTGCCAGGGGACACGGCCACCCGTGGGGACACGGCCACCCCCGTGGGGACACGGCCACCCCCGTGGGGACAGCCCCGAGCCACCATCAGCCGCCCCACAGCGGGGTAACGGGCCCCAAAATGGAGATAACCGGCCCCAAAATGGGGATAACCGGCCCCAAAATGGGGATAACCAGCCCCAAAATGGGGATAACCAGCCCCAAAATGGGGATAACCAGCACCAAAGTGGGGATAACTGGCCCAAAATGGAGATAATCAGCCCAAAATGGGGATAACGGGCCCCCAAAGAGGGATAAGCAGCCCAAAGCAGCAATAACTGTCCCTAAACAGGGATAAGCAGCCCCAAAAGAGGAATGACTGTCCCTAAGCGGGGATAAGCAGCCCCAAAATGGGAATAACTGTCCCTAAACCCCGTGGGGACACGGCCACCCCCGTGGGGACACGGCCACCCCCGTGGGGACACGGCCACCCCCGTGGGGACAGCCCCGAGCCACCATCAGCCGCCCCACAGCGGGGTAACGGGCCCCAAAATGGAGATAACCGGCCCCAAAATGGGGATAACCGGCCCCAAAATGGGGATAACCAGCCCCAAAATGGGGATAACCAGCCCCAAAATGGGGATAACCAGCACCAAAGTGGGGATAACTGGCCCAAAATGGAGATAATCAGCCCAAAATGGGGATAACGGGCCCCCAAAGAGGGATAAGCAGCCCAAAGCAGCAATAACTGTCCCTAAGCGGGGATAAGCAGCCCCAAAATGGGAATAACTGTCCCTAAACGGGGATAAGCAGCCCCAAAAGAGGAATGACTGTCCCTAAGCGGGGATAAGCAGCCCCAAAATGGGAATAACTGTCCCTAAACGGGGATAAGCAGCCCCAAAAGAGGAATGACTGTCCCTAAGCGGGGATAAGCAGCCCCAAAATGGGAATAATTCCCTAAATGGAGATAAGCAGCCCTAAAATGAAGGTAACGGTCCCCAGGAGGAGGTGACTGTCCCCAAAACAGGAACAAGTGTCCCAAAAAGGAGGAAGAGCCCCCAGATGCCACCGTGTTCCCCCCACCCCACAAATGGGGAGGGTCACCCCCAAGGGCCACGTCCCCCCCAGCCTGGCCAGGTCATCACCCCAAAACGGGAACAGGAATGGCTCCCAAACGGGGGGGAGGGGCAGGTGTCCCCTGGTGTCCCCTCCCTGGTGTCACCCACCTGCAGAGCCCCCACGGGGTTACACTCGGACTGGGGGGGGGACACCGGCGTCTTCATCTCCAGGGGGGCACCCCTGTAGGACACGGGGGTCAGGGGGCACCCACGGCCCCCATGGGGGCCCAGCCCCCACCTGTGCTCCAGGGGCTCCAGCATGGCCCCCCCCCCTCTGAGCAGCCTCAGGGCCACCTCGGCCGCCTTGTGCTTCGCCGCCTTCTTGCTGGGCCCCTGCCCTGGGGGACACCGCGGCTCAGGGACACCGGGGGACACCGGGACCCTCCCCACCGCGCCCCCCGGGACCCCCCAGCAGCACCAGGGCCGGGACCCCCGAGTTTCCCCCTTGGTGTCCCCGTCCCAAAGGCCCTGGGAGCAAAGAGGGGTTTGGGGACAGGGTTTGGGGTCCCCTGGTGCAGGGGATGTCCCCGAGGGGGCTTTGGGGTCCCACCAGTGCCCAGGGGGACACGGGGCACGGGGGGGCCCTGGGAGCTTTGGGGTCCTGGTGATGGGAGTGCTGGTGATGGCCCTGAGGGGACAGGAGGGACAGGGAGGGGACAGGAGGGACAGGGTGGCCCAAGGTGTCCCAGGGTGTCCCAGGGTGGCCCAGGGGCCCCGCGGTCCCACCGGTGCAGCTGATGTCCCCGAGGGGACAGGAGGGACAGGGAGGGGACGGGAGGGACAGGGTGTCCCAGGGTGGCCCAGGGTGTCCCAGGGTAGCCCAGGGTGGCCCAGGGTGTCCCGGGGGCCCCGCGGTCCCACCGGTGCAGCTGATGTCCCCGAGGGTGACGCGGAAGGTGAAGTTGGGCTGGTGGGCCTGGCCCTCGGCCTTGAGCAGGTCGTAGCCCGGGGTCCGTCCTAGGCGCGTGCCATACTCCTGCAGCAGGCTGATGGGCGTCTTCCCGGGGCTGGCGGCCACCATCTGCTCCAGGCTGCGACAGGGACAGGCTGCGGCCACCGGGGCACGGGGACAGGGACACGGGGACGGGGACAGGCTGGAGCCACCGGGGCACGGGGACAGGGCAGGGACACGGGGACAGGGCAGGGACAGGACAGGGACAGGGCAGGGACACGGGGACAGGGACACGGGGACGGGGACAGGGCAGGGACAGGGACACGGCGGGGACAGGGACACAGCTGGAGCTGCCGGGGCACGGGGACAGGGACAGGGACAGTGCAGGGCCAGGGACGGGACAGGGACACGGCTGGCACTCGCTGGGGCAGGGCAGTGTGGGGACACAGGGGCACAGCTGGCAGCCACCAGGGCACGGCAGTGTGGGGACACGGGGACACGGGTGGCAGTGCCACAGGGCATTAGGACACAGAGGAAGGGGTGGCACAGGCACAGGGACACGGCCACGGGGTGGCACTGCCACGGAGCGTGGGGACACGGGGTGGCACTTGTGCGTGACGTGGTCACACGGGGACAGGGATGGAGCCCCGGCACAGCGTGGGGACAGCGGTGGCACTGCCAGCTGGGGGGGGACACGGGGACAGCGACAATGGGGACAGGGGGGACAATGGGGGACAACGGGGACAGTGGGGCAGAGGTGGCACTGGTCAGACTGGGAGCACTGGGATCACACCGGGAACCGAGGGACAGCCGTGCTGGGAGCCCCGGGAGCCCCGGGAGCCCCGTTCTGGGATCCCTGGCGTGGCCCCGGTGCCCCGTGCGCTGCCGGTGCCGGTGCCGGTGCCGGTACCGGGGGTCCCCGCTGGGGCCGGGGCTGCAGTCCCGGTGCCGGTGCAGGCCCGGGAGCGCTGCCGGTGCCCGTGCCCGCCCCTCCGGTACCGGGGGCGGTCCCGGGGCGGTCCCGGGGTCCTGATGCGGGATCGGGGTCCCGGTGCGGAACCACAGCGGTGCCGGTGCCGGTCCCTGCCGGTGCCGAGCGGGGTGCCGGTGCCGGTGCGGCGTCGGGGGCTCCCCGGGGCCGGTCTCTCCCGGCGCAGTGTCTGGGTCCCGGTGCCGGTCCCTCCGGTGCGGCGGTTCCCGGTGCGGTACCGGGGTTCCGGTGCGGTACCGGGGGGTCCCGGTGCGGTCCCGGGGTCCCGGAGAGCCGCCGGGGGGGTCCCGGTGCCCGTGCCGGTCTCTCCGGTGCGCGGGGCGGGGCCGGGGCGGGGCCGTTCCCGTCGGGCGGGGCCGTTC